TTAGGGTTTAGGGGAAAGTGATGAAAACATAAGGCCAACCGGAAGTAGCCTGTGTAGTCATACCTGTATATATCCCAAAAGCCGATTCTACTTGTCAAGCCCCCTTATAACCCTTACAACACCCGCACTAGGAAACTTACCCTAACTGGCCCCTATCGTATCTCTTATGGATCCCTGCTTTAAAAGGGCACCTAAACCCTAAACCCTAATTAATATCCTCGTCATCCCCTAAACCCTAAACTCTAAACCCTAAACCCTAAACCCCATCGCATCTCTTATGGATCCCCAAAAGGGCACTTAGGCTGGGAGCGATTCGTGCTTGTCCTTGGTATTCTCTGCCGCCCGCTTCTGGGCTTTTTCAGTACGGGCTGTGGAAACGTGTTCTATTGGAGTTTAGAAGCCCCCCTAAGCCCGAAACCCTAAACCCTAATGTGTTTCGTGTTGGAGTTTGACAAGGGTGAGGAAAGTTAGTCTGAGTTACCCAAATGGAGTTTGACCTAGCCAACTAACATGCTCTTTCCTTTCTATGGTAGCACAAGTCCAATACCCTATACACTATATACCCTACCACCTCGACCTTGCACTAAGAGGCGAATACTAATATGTCATACTGCTATCACTAAATTCAGACTCTAACATTCATGCTCATACCAAATCAAGTTCCTGCGCCAATGTGCCGAGGCTTTCCTGCTGCATCTGGGATGCCGCTCAGAAGCTCTTCGACAAGTGGGAGGTTGGTGCTCAACGGATTCAGTATGCCTCTGTGGTGGGCAACAGAGGACCGGAGGGTTTAGGGTTTAGGGTGCAGGGTTTAGGGTTTAGGCTTCCTAAACCCTAAACCCTAAACCCCAAAAGGGTGTAGGGGAGCTCAAGCACCAGGAGACCCCTGAAACAAAGCCCCGGACTGCATTGGACGGGTTCGCCCCATGATTTTGCAAAAGGTACCAATGGTACTAGGGTTTAGGGCTTTAGGGTTTTAGGGTTTAGGGTTTAGGGGTAACCATCCTGCGAGCCACCCGGTCAGAAGCCTTCTAGAAGTTAAGCTAGATTTAAGTCAGTGAAGCGGTACACGAAGCCCAAGTAACCAACCCCTTGATTAAGGACTCTCGCCCTAAACGCGCAGAGTTAGAAGTCCTCCACCTCCAGAAATAAGACTCCCTGACGCGATCCAGCAGGTAAGCCCGACTCCTTCTTCGAAACTCGAATACCAGAGCTCCGGGGGATTTTGGAGGAACGCTAAACCCTCAACCCTAAACCCTAAAGCCTCAACCCTAAACCCTAAACCCCTAAACCCCTAAACCCCTAACCCCTAAACCCTACGAGGAATGTCCTTGGCCTGGAACTCCTTGGTGGACTCTGGGCTCTGCATCTTAGCGACCCGTTCGCCCTCTGAGAAGGGCTTCCGCGCCTATCGAAACTGGGTCACCTATGGCTTTATGGGTTTAGGGTTTAGGGTCTAGGGTTTGGGGTTTAGGGGGCTTTATGGGGGGGTTTGGAGGGTGTTTTCTGCGGCGTTGCTCTGGTCTATTTTGATGGTTTGGCAGGTGCCCCACTGGCGTTTATGCGCAGTGTTAAGAGTGTCCATAAACGGCCAAGCCAGGAAATTGGCCAGATGGGTGGCATGAGGAGCGGTTGGCCAACAAGGGCGTTCTCTGGGCCTTCTGGGGTGGGCCCCAACAAGGGATGCTGGTTTTGAACACCCATTTAACCACGAGAGCGGCAGTAAAGCGAAAACAGCTGGAGGAACTGTCCTGGCTTTTTGCAGAACTGCGCAGCAAGTTCCTCGCGGTCTCAACCGTACTGGAGGTTTACATCTGTGGGGACTTCAACATGGATTCTCGCAGAGACGATTGCTTCAAAGCGTGGTATGAGGAGCTCGATCTGCAGCTGTTGACCACACAGAAGCCGACATGTGGAGGGGGGGGAGCTGCTTTGGACCACGTCTTCCTCTGGCGCTCGGATCGTGAGAAGATCGCGACGGAGGTCTCTGATCCGATAAAGCCCTGGGTTGGCGACTTCTGCCGGCAGGCGAGAGATGATCTATCAGATCACTGCTGGCAGGGGCTCTTCGTGCCATAAAGCGCGCGAGAAAAAGAGAGAGACTGTAGAAGGGTCCCCCGAAACCAACGGGTCAGCCCCCGTGGTCTCTTTTGTGTGGCAGGATACTCTGAAGTGTGTTTTTCGGTTCGGAAGCAACATATGAGCTGCCCCAGATATGAGGGATTCTGGAGTCTCTGGGTTGGAGAATCAGAAGCAGCTGCTTTCCTCGCAGGGGCAGAGATAGGCTTAGGCTCAGGCTCCACCAGACTCGCGATTGAGCGTGCAGTTTCGGGGCAGAGAAGAGGACCTGCAGTGTACAGAAGCTTTGGGGTTCGGGGCCATGGTGCCCTAAACCCTAAACCCTAAACCCAAACCCTAAACCCGTGATGAAGCCCCATTGCCCCAAACCCAAACCCTCAGCCCTATACACTTTACCTAGACCCTTGCCACTTCTGAAGCCGGCGTTTCCGAGCCAACGGAAACTGCACATGCGAAGCCGTCCGAGACAAACCATGAAATACGAGAGAATGCACTTGCTGCAAAGCAGGCAGCAGGAGAGAGAACTGTCAAAAGATGTCCTGCCATTCTAGCTAAGCACGGCCCCAAAAACCTCATAGCAGCCTCAAAAAACGGCAGCCCCCAAAAACCAAGCCCCCCTGAACCCCAAACCCTCCCCTTTTAAACCCTAAACGCTAAAACCCTAAATTCCCATTTCCCCCCTCCGCTCCAAGTCCGAGCCCAGCCGCCTCCCCCTTCAGAGCTGCCGCCGCCATGGCGGCCGTGGAGAGACGGCCGATGCCACTGCAGGCCCCCGGCGTCCGCTGAGGGATCGGGCTTAGGGTCTACAGGGTTTATGGGGTTTAGGGTTTAGGGTTATTTAGGGTTTATAGGGCTTAGGGTTTGATCCTCTGAAGGAGTGGGCTTAGGGGGTTTAGGGCCTTTAGGGTTTAGGGTTCGGGGTTATTTTCGTTTTTTTTGGGATTTTAAAGGGGTAGGTGCCTTGAACACAAGAGCAGGGTTCTGATTCGGGGGTATACTATACAACAAGTTTGAATGCCAAGACAACTAAGGAATCAATACTCAGTATGTTCACGCTATTCTGATGTTCATAAGAATATCGAGACTCATAACCATAACAATAAGCACACCGGCGAAGGACAAAACTAGAACAATCGGCAATAACAATACGAAACGTCTTAGCTCTAGTACGAACAGCAAGACTAGTAGTAATGGTCATCATCACCGTCCTCTCGCAGCAATAGTTCTCGTCAGCATCATCATTATCACCACCAAATTCGTTCGGTCACCATCACCATCACCATCGTCGTCGTCATTATCATCTTTATCATTATCGCCATCAGAAGCACCACAACGCTGCTAAAGCAGCTGTGTTCCATTGCCCAACGGAGGTGGCAATGGCCGTCCTTGCGAAACCTCTGCCCCGGGAAGCGTCTGAGGCTCTGTGCCGTCTCCGACGAAGGGCTGTGCAGAGTTTGAGGGCTTAGACGTGTTTTTTGTGGTTTGGGCTTTACCCATATTCCCCTAAGTAGTTCCTTTTTTATGGTTTTTATTTACAATCCTATAAGGTAGCCCCAAAAAGGAGCTACTTAGGGGCCTATGGGTAGGGTTTATGATTGGCATGGAGTGTTTGGGGTTTGGGGTGGTCTAGGATTCAGGAACCTTGGAGGTCCGAACAGAGGTCTGAGTCTAAACCATCAGATATGGCACCCCTCATAACCCTATGAGCATTACACTTACACCCTAGTGTCCCGAAGCTCTCATGATTACAGGCCTTCTTCTAGCTTCATCAGGGAATGCGGTTTAGGGTTTTTAGGGTTTTTAGGATTCACAGTTCAAAGTTCAAGAAGTGCTGAAGTTCGCAGGCTCTGACTCACGACGAGCAATTCTCTGCCAGCGCTGGAAGTGCTTTGGGCAGCAAAAGAGCCCCGAAGCCTTGATGCCTGAAAAGCGACAAGGAGGCTCGAAACCCCAAGCCCTAAACCCTAAACCCCAAGCCGTGGTAGACCACCCTGAACCACGGGTGTACTTTTGGTTTCCGGGATATGAGGTCACCGTGTTGACGGGCTTCACTCAATGTTTCATCGACGATGGCTGAGTTTCGGCGGAAGAAAGTAGAAACCCTAATCTAATAGAAACCAATATAGATTCCTTTAAGGAACTAGATACCCTATAGAAACCCTCATAGCTCTGAGGCGCAGGGAGTGGGGGCTCCTTGACAGAGCCGTACGAGGCATGCCCTTTGGTTGTTACGATCTTCTCTGGGTTTAGGGGTTTAGTGGTTTAGGGGCTTAGGGTTTAGGGGTGCAGAGTCCGAGGTTCAAACTGTTTGTGCGCTGGTTGTGGGTTTGACCAATAGTGCGGATGTCTTAGAGTTTTGGAACGGGGTTTGGAGTATTATTGTGCTACAACTGTCTATCGGGACCCGAAAGGGGTACTAAGTTCGCCATGTTTGCCGAGTTCCACAAGGTGATGCCCTGGAGACTTTTGACGGTCCACTGCCCTTTTGAACCCCCTAAACCCTAAACCCCAAACCCTAAACCCTAAACCCTAAGATCCTGAGCCCCTAATATCCTAAGCCCTAAACCCTAAATCCTAAACCCTAAACCCCATAAGCCCTAAACCCCAAACCCTAAACCCTAAACCCCTTAAGCCCTAAACCCTAATATCCTAAACCCCTAATATCCCAAGCCCTAAACCCTGAACTCCAGGGCCGGAACCTCCCGAAGCCCTGGCTTCCCGAATGCCCAAAGAATCTACCACTGGTGCTAGGGTTTAGGGTCATAAAGACCCTAGACCCTAAACAGGCCAGGGTTTAGGGATTTGGGGTTTAGGCTTTAGGCCCTAAGCCCTAAACAGCCTAGGGTTTAGGGATTTGGGGTTGAGAGTTTAGGTTCTAGGGGTTTACGGTTTGGTGCGTTAGGGGTTGAAGGGTTTACGGTGTACAGCTATAGGCTATAGGGTTTAGGAGTTTGACTGTTTTTGGGTTTAGTGTACGGGTCTTCACATTGAAGCGCAAAGGATCTCAGAATCATGGTTTCTGGAGATTGGTTTGGCTGAGAGAGTTGATGATATAGATCCTGCATTACCCATAATAAGGAAGATACCAGAATTCCCATAGTTTAGGGCCCTTAAAGGTAATTATGCAGGATTTTGATAGGTTCCTTAACGCGGGCCCAGCGTGAGGGCCCATCTGCCCTAAACCCTGGGATCGTAAGCTGGGGGCCTGGACGATTAGATTGTTTGCTTTGTAGGGTTTAGGGTTTGGGGTTTAGGGTTTAGGGTTTAGGGCTGTAGGGTTCCTTGATGTCGTAGTAGCACATCTAGTATAAATACAGGACCTCCGCGACGGCAAGTCTGAGGTTTCAGGCCTCTTTGTCGGGCTTTTCTAGGGTACTAGAGCCCCTAGGGCCATATATAGTAGGTACCTGGAGGGTTAGGGTTGGTTCGGGCCCTATATCATCGCCTGCGCCAAGCCCTGTCCACCCCGCACAGAGCCGAAGCCCTAAATCCACAAGCGTTTACGAAGCCTCCGAAACCCCGTATACAACCCTGCCAGCCCTGACAGATACCGGAAGCGTAAGAAATTTACTTTTTGATCCGTGCAGGAAACTTCAAACTCTCTTGGCGGGCCCAGAGCGATTCCGGACACTTTCTGGGTGTTGTTTTTTTTTAAAATTCGTTTCGGGTGAGGGCGTGGGGTCTGTGACTTGTTGGCTTCTCCGGGATCTTGGATTTCAGGGTGTTTCAGACCGGGCGATAACGGTGCACGGCGGGTGAAGGGGACCGGGCAGAGCGCGATAACGGTGCACGCAGACGGTGTACAGGTGCACGGGAAGGTGCAGGAAGGGACCGGGGCAGAGCGCGATAAGGTGCACGGGCGTGCACGGGAAGGTTCAGGGGACCGGGGCAGCGAGCGATAACGGTGCACGGGGACGGTGCACGATAACGGTGCACGGGGACGGTGTACGGGTGAAGGGGAGATAACGGTGCACGGGGACGGTGCACGGATGCACGGGAAGGTGCAGGAAGGGGACCGGGGCAGAGCGCGATAACGGTGCACGGGGACGGTGCACGGGTGCACGGGAAGGTGCAGGGGAACGGGGCAGCGAGCGATAACGGTGCACGGGGACGGTGCACGG